AGCATTTTGAGTTAAGAGCTTGCACCAGAGAAAACACTAGCACTAGCGCCAGAGGAAGTGTCAGCACCAAAGTACAGAGCTTTAGGTCTTCAAGGGAGCAGTCTTCATGCCTCGTGCTCTGGTCCATTTTGGGAGATTGCTGTCTTCTTTGCTCTTATCCGCTTTGAAGAACTTCAAACTTTTAAACTCCAAAAGGTCTTCAGATGCTGGTGCTTAATGTCCATTTATTTACATTTGCTTAGAGGCATTTGTAGGCCAGCAAAAATCCAACCCCACCTCCCAGTGGTGCCAGCTAAATAACCAACCAATGGGGCAATGGTCTGCAGTGATAAGCAGTGCTGCAGATACGCCAGCTGCAGTATCAACAGTTGCATCAATCTGTCAAAACCATGAAGGTTTTTTTTGAGGAATGTCCAAAACAAAGCCATGTGGAAATGATAGGCAAAGCAGACCCTGCAAAATCTTGGGGAAAATAGTAGGAATGGTTCCAGAGCAACTGAGATGAAGTACAACATACGTATTAAAGGTGATAGTTTGAGACTTATTTACCCCAAAATAAGTATGATTGAATTCATGTGGTCTCACTGTGCTATTCTTGTCCAGTGTGGCAGAAATCTCAGCTGAACCGTTTGGATTCAGAAGTTGGATTATAACTCGAGACCACATCCCTGCTTGGCTACAGAAACCCACTAGATGACTTTAGTGAAGTCACACTTTCTCAGCACCAGAGAAAGGCAAGGACATACCTCCTCTTAATTAATCTTGTCAAGAAAACCCCACAATAGGGTGCTTCCCACTATTTATTCTGTGAAGGAGAGGGCAGTGTGTGTGTGTGTGTTGCTCTAAGGCAGTGATTCCCAACCAGGGACGGCTCAACCCATTACGCAAAGTAAGCATTTGCAGTATAGTTGATTTTGGCCGGGGCGCTCTTGGGGGAAAATAGACCTTGACATATGCGAGATGTAGTTACTGGGATGTATAGTTCACCTACAATCAAAGAGCATTCTGAACTCCACCAATGATGGAACTGAACCAAATATGGCACACAGAACTCCCACGATGAACAGAAAATATATATCAGTGATTGGTTGGGGGGGGGGGGGACGCCAAACTTCTGTTTGCTCACCATTGAAAATTACCTAGGGCCGCCTCTGTTCCCAACTTTTGGTTCTCCAGTTGTTTTGGATTTCAACTCCCAAAATCCCAGCCAGCTTACCAGATGTAAGAAATTGTGTGAAGTGAAGTCCAAAAGGTTGGGAAGACCAAGGGTTGGGAACCACTGCTCTCAGGGCATGGATTCACATCTCCAAATTTGGGTACTGTTTCGTTATCTTGGCGGAGGCCACAAGGGGACACTAGACAGAGAAGGATTGTCCATTTTATGGGGGTGAAGGGGCTGAAGGAGTTAAACCATTTTCCCCTGTTTTCGTGTTACACCTCTCACCATGTCACCGTCACCGAAACAACCATATTATATAATATGGGAAGCGGGGAGGGAGATAACTAGAGAGATAACCCCCTCCCCCATAAAGTGGATTATCCTTCTCCATCTAGCAGGCCCGTAGCCAGGATTTTGTTTCGGGGAGGGGGGGCTGAGTTTGTTTCGGGGGGGGGGGGCTGAGTCTGAGTGAAAGAGGTTCTACCCTAGCAAACCTTTTGTATCGTTACCCCAATATCCCCATGCATATGGGATATATTGAGCATGGTGATCAGATCATGATATGAATAAACATAACAGTTTAAATAATGTACCAGTAAGGCCTTCTCGCGGACCACCATCAGAATTTCGGGGGGGGGGGCTGAAGCCCCCCAAGGCCCCCCCCCCCGGCTACATGCCTGCCATCTAGGCACCCTTTTGGAATCTGCTCAGATAATGGAACAGTACCCAAATTTGCTTTGGGATAGGGAGAAAATGTGTTAGGACCTCAGTAGAGCAAAGTCCCATCTGCTCTTCTAATACAGTTTCTCTTTACTACTGAATCTCTCTTTCATCAGTTTAATATCCAGTATACCTTCTTTCTGAGACACCAATATCCTGCATTGACAGAAGAAGGGAGGAGTTTTAATAGATCTCTTTCATCTTTCTTTTTTTTTACAAGAAATCACCCTGGTTTCAGAAAAAATGTATTTTCTTCTCTCATAATCTTAGTTTTGGCATCAAAGTAATGAGTAAAGATATCAGAATCAAAGAAACACAGATATTTGGCAACCCACGGACAGCTTGTGGATGTTTATATGTACATTTTATTGTTCAAAAAGAAGATATAGCTAGATATTCAAAATAATCAGATATTACTTACATGATCAGTTCGGTACCAAAGGGCAATGAAAATGTACACGATCTTTTGCTTTTGTGATGCTAACTTCTGTCAAATAGTGCTTCTGTCACAGGGAATGGACCAGCAGAAGTCCTTGGCTGTTCAGGCCACTGAGAAAGCTTGACAAAGAGGCTTTTTTGTGGATCAGGAAATACCACATGACTTGTCGTACACTTTTTATGTTAAGATTTTTTATTGTTTGATTTGATTAGTTTTTGGTTCCTATCGACTAGACATAAGAGAGGGTCACTTAAAATTTGAATATCTCCCATTCATCCCTGTGTTGCCAAGATCAAGGCACAACACAGCTTCATGCCTTGGCTCATTTTTGAGAGAAGCCCAGAATAAATATTAAAGTTTTAATATGGAGACATTTTGAAATAACTTCCACATGGATCTTCCCAATACTGTAATTGGTCACAATATTAAAACTATTTGAGTGCTTGAGTTGGGATCCCCTATGTTATGTCTAGAGTAGAGTGTCATGGAGAGACCATAGATGGCTGACTGAAATCCATCCTTGTAAAATGATTGTATGACTAGATCGATATGTATATGGATCATGATATAAAGGCTCTCACCATTCGGAAATTAGATAAGCACTTTATAGTTCCTCTGCAGCAAAAACAAAAGTCATTCAAGTTTCCTTATAGAAGTAACTACATTTGTTGCCACCTAGTAACTAACTGCAGACAAAGCACTGTCCATCTGAGCCTTGTCTTTGAATTGGCATCAGGTACTTAAGTGCTGAAATCAGGGGGCTCACAATATAAGGCATCACTTTCTTTCGGGGCTACTGGCTGAAGGAGGAAAAAATGAGTCAGATAATTGGTCCATCTAGCTTACTATTGCCTATATTAGGCATATGCTATATCACGGGATCTATAGTCCAATATATTTGGTAGGAAAGCTGTTCTTCACTAATGGGGAGTGTCTTTCCAGGATCTGAAACAAAAATGGAACCATATTTTCAACTGAGAAAGGATGGAAGTGCCAAACACAAAGGACATTACCTGACAGTATGCTAAAAGCATATTCAACCCATGTGGAGCCCCCGGTGGCGCAGTGGGTTAAACCTCAGTGCCAGCAGGACTGAAGACCTACAGGTTGCAGGTTCGAATCCAGGGAGAGGCGGATGAGCTCCCTCTATCAGCTCCAGCTCCTCATGCGGGGGCATGAGAGAAGCCTCCCACAAGGATGATAAAAACATCAAATCATCCAGGCGTCCCCTGGGCAACGTCCTTGCAGACGGCCAATTCTCTCATACCAGAAGCGACTTGCAGTTTCTCAAGTCACTCCTGACATGATAAAAAAAATCACAAACCCATTCTAGTAGAAAGCAAGAATATTCCTGCATAGCTCCTCTTCTTATCACACAGTCCACCTATCAGTGCTCTCGTGTTTCTGCTTAGCACACCATCTCATAGACCACTTTTCCCAACCTGTGCATTATCCTCCACTGGGCATGTCCCCTTTCCCCTTTTTAATTATTATTTTTTACTTGAAGAACTCCACAGTTTTGAGATTTGGGTTGTTCTTATGAAAACATTTTGTGTTTTCATTACTGCATGACTTCACAGTTACACAGTAGCACATTTTTGGGTTGTCAAGCATGTGCAAATTTCTTCGTATCTCCAGCAAAATAAATATGGATATTGCAATTCCCAGCCTTTTTCTTATTTATTTATGCTATCAGAGGGTAGTATGGTTATCAGCGTCAAACCTTGTTTTGGGACACTGAGGCCACCTGAACTCTGGTGATTTTTTTTGTCACAATTAAAATATGCATCCACATTCAAAGGCAATCACACTTAAATCAATAGTGATAGCACATCAGCCAATGTAGTTGAAGACAGTAAGCAGTAACTTTACAAAAAAAATATATCTCAGCAGTATTTTCACCAATGAGGAAAAGCTTATACAACAAAGATAATCTATAATAAACTTTAAGGATAAACTACAAAATTGCAGTTATCTTGATTTTTTTTTTTAAAAAAGGAAAGTGAATGGGTTGAAGGTAGGGAGTAATGACTATGCAATTGGAGGTCCTCTTTTTCTGCTCACCCGAAGTGGAATGGCCACAGTCTGGAAGCAGGGAAATGGAGTAGAGAAAAGTGATGCCCACAAAATACCCACAATAACAAGGATTCTCCCAATTTAGCTGAAACAGCACTAGTGTCTTATCACAATACTGTCAACATTTAGTAAAGTGCTTTCAGGAGACTATTCATGGCTTTCCTCTGTGCATCAAAATCTATGTATTTGATTTTATGTTGTTGTATCGATATTATGACATTGAATTGTTGCCCATGTAAGCTGCCCTGAGTCTCCCCTCGGGGGTGAGAAGGGGGGGGGGTAGAAACAATGTAAATAATACTGCCAAATAACATGGGGAAACCTCAACCTTCATGCAATAATCTCCAAAGAGATTGTTTAAACTACAGTTTTCCTGGTGTGAAAAGCAATATGAGTTTTGTTCTCCTCTACTTGTAAAACTTCAGCTTTTTAGTCCCATTTGTTTCATCCATTTCTGAGCCAGATAAAGGAGTAAACAGCTGCTAGAGCTGGCCCTACCATTAAGTAGGATAAGGCAGTTTCCTCGGGCAGAGGATGCAGTATTCGTAGGGAGAAGTGTTTGGTCTGTCTATAACCTCCTGGGTTAGCTTGTTCCTGCAAAGACTAGGATACTGATGCCACACCCCATATTGCTGATCACACTGCAAGATGGGAATCTAGATACAGGAGAATGCCACAAATGCATGGAGGGTGACGTTGTTGAGGTCATGAGAAGTGGAATTTTGGTTGCCTACACTTCCAGGCGCCTCTGCGTAGAGTCTCACACAGTTTAATGAATTGTATTGTCCTCCTTGAATGGAAGGTAATAGCAGAATAATCACCAAGATAGCAAACTACAGTGCCATAAAAAGACTGAGCATTAGCTCCTTTGACTCTTCACAGCATCACAGAACAGGCTTTGAATGTTTAGAAGAAAAGAAACTGTTCCTTTCCCATCCTGTCATGTAGCTGCTCAGTTTAAACCTGTCTTTCAAGATCTTCTACGCTGAGCTGACACATATTTCTTTCAGAGGTAGGAGCTAAGGCACTAGCATGGCACAACCATTCAAGGCGGCTGTTGGAATCCTTTTCCCAGCTATAACCACTGTTCCTGGAGCACAAGGCACCAGAGCTGGACTCCAAAGGCAGGTCTGTTCTCTGGACATTGCTGAAAGTCACAATGATGCTGGGGATCTGGCTTGAAGTAGATGGCCTGGAATAAGTCTCTTCCCTTCTCCATCCAAAGGCATTCAGATCTTCACCTGTCTTAAATATCAAAGAGAACATATAGACATGTGATGTATTTCAGTCAACAACAGTCCATAAAAAGAGAAAACATCTTATTTTTGACATGGTCCTCTCTGAATCTATCTTGCCAATCAAAACAGGGTTCAGATTAATATACGAGGGGTATTTTTTAAGTAAGGTCCATTGGAACATAAGTACACAATGGAAGTTTATTTCAAAAAAGTAAATTTATTTTCAGAAAGTACATACTTCACTCTATTTTTCAACATAGTTGCCAAGTTTGTTCAAACACTTATCATACCTCTGAACCAATTTTAAAATACCCTCTTCATAAAAACTTGCTGCCTGCTCCGATAACCAAATCGTCTGTAATCAAAGAAGGCTGACCGGAGCGGTCCTCATCATGGACGTTGTCATGGCCATCTTTGAATTGTTGTACCCACTTATTCACTTTGCTTTCACTCATAACAGTATTACCGTACACTTCACAAATCTGTCGATGAATTTCTGCAGCAGGGAGGTTCCTTGCTGACAAAAACCGTATCACTGAGCGAACCTCACATGCAGCGGGTGAGTTGATAGTCTTAAACATTTTTAAAGCACAGAACAGGTTAGCTACAGAGCGGAAACTGAGCACAGTTGTTCCCGACGCACGCACTCGTTGCGGTATGCGCGTGAATTACTAGTGTCTACAACAAAATGGACCTTACTTAAAAAATACCACTGAAGAAAATTAGGTTAAGAAAACAAAATAAAATGCAAAGAAGAAAAGGATTTCCTTTATCTGCAGCAGTGGTAAGAATAATGGGGCTATCTATCATTCCTGAGAGCTGGTGGCTTCTATGCCAACAGGAAATTTAATGCAGTCTGAGTTTTACCTCAAACTTTGAAGGAGTTCTCCAAAGTGCTGATCCTATTTTGGGATTAGGGTTCGGCACTCTGGATAGTTTACTGAAAATTCAAGCTACAGCTAAAAATGTAATTCTTTACTCTCCTATTTTCTCTAAAAATTCAAAATCAGTCATGTAAAGCTATGAAAAAACATTCCATGTCATGGATACCAACATGAAAGCTGCAAGTAATGACAATTTTTATCAACATTCCTTTTGTGGATAAAAGGAATGATGTATTGTCGAAGGCTTTCATGGCTGGAATCACTGGGTTGTTGTAGGTTTTTCCGGGTTATATGGCCATGTTCTAGAGGCATTTCTCCTGACGTTTCACCTGCATCTATGGCAAGCATCCTCAGAGGTAGTGAGGTCTGTTGGAACTAGGAAAAAGGGTTTATATATCTGTGGAATGACCAGGGTGAGACAAAGGACTCTTGTCTGCTGGAGCTAGGTGTGAATGTTTCAACTGACCACCTTGATTAGCATTTGATGGCCTGGCAGTGCCTGGAGCAATCTTTTGTTGAGAGGTGATTAGATGTCCTTGTTTGTTTCCTCTCTGTTGTTGTGCTGTTGTAATTTTAGAGTTTTTTTAATACTGGTAGCCAGATTTTGTTCATTTTCATGGTTTCCTCCTTTCTGTTGAAATTGTCCACATGCCTGTGGATTTCAATGGCTTCTCTGTGTAGTCTGACATGGTGGTTGTGAGAGTGGTCCAGCATTTCTGTGTTCTCAAATAAAATGCTGTGTCCAGGTTGGTTCATCAGGTGCTCTGCTATGGCTGACTTCTCTGGTTGAAGTAGTCTGCAGTGCCTTTCATGTTCCTTGATTCGTGTTTGGGCAATGCTGTTTGGTGGTCCCTATGTAGACTTGTCCACAGCTGCATGGTACATGGTAGACTCCTGCAGAAGTGAGAGGATCCCTCTTGTCCTTTGCTGAACGTAGCATTTGTTGGATTTTCTTGGTGGGTCTGTAGATAGTTTGTATGTTGTGTTTCCTCATCAGCTTCCCTATGCGGTCAGTGGTTCCCTTGATGTATGGCAAGAACACTTTTCCTCTGGGTGGATCTTCATCTTTATTCTCATGGCTTGTTCTTGGTCTTGCAGCTCTTCTGATGTCTGAGGTAGAGTATCCATTGGCCTGTAGAGCCCAGTTGAGGTGGTTCAGTTCATCTTGAAGGAGGTGGGGTTCGCAGATTCTTTTTGCACGGTCTGCCAAGGCTTTAATGGTGCTTCTTTTTTGACTTGGGTGATGGTTGGAGTTTTTATGTAGATATCTATCTGTGTGTGTGGGTTTTCTGTAAACGGTGTGACCCAATTGTTGATCTGGTTTGTGGATGACTAGGACATCTAGAAAAGGCAGTCTTCCTTCCTTTTCTTTTTCCATGGTGAACTGGATGTTTGGGTGGATGCTGTTAAGATGGTCCAGGAACCTGTTTTTACTCCTTACTCTGAGGGTTTCAGTTCTTCCTCACTCGAAATACACTTCCTGAGCTCATCTTTATGAAGACACAAAACATTTATGCCACAGTTTCTTGAAACAAACAAAACTGGAACATAACTTACCAAACTATCTTCAAGGTTATAGGCTCCAAAGGGTAAGTCCTAGACAAACAGAATTCATAGTTGTATGAAATTATCCATTCATGAGGACACACTTCTCTATTGTTAACTACCCACACATATTGAAAACCAGTCTGTTACAGTGTCTTTATTCAGAGGTAAATCAATTCCACTGAAGCCCCAAATAACTTGCACAGCAGAGGGATGCAAATGTAGAGCTTAATCCAATGCGTACTTATGCAGATATAAGTGTGGCTGAATATTTTAACATGTATGGAACTGCAACTTTATTTGTATGCATGCGTAGTTGGATTGAGACCTGACTTTGGCAACAAGCCTGAGAATTTGGAACTGAGTCTGGAAGAGAATGAATTGCCCTTTTCCACTAGCAACGCATCAGTCACAACAGTGAAAATGAATCACTTGCTAAATAGTAGGAAGTAGTTAGAACTAATGAGGGATGGATGTTTTAGGCATATAGCCAGCAATTTTGCGCTGGAGTAGAACAAGAAGGGTAGTCATCATAAGTTAATGAAGTGTTGGTGAGATGTAGGACTTAGAAATGCATTATTAAATAAGCTCCACATTTTCTGCCATTAAATAAATATAAGGAGAGCCAATATGAGGTAGGATATATAGTTAGATTGGAGGCTTCCAAACCAGTGGAGCAGTAAACCTCCTCCAGATTTTAGTGTGAACTTTAATGAATAATAATAAAATAATAAACTTTATTGGGTTTTTGTAGGTTTTTTCGGGCTGTATGGCCATGTTCTAGAGGTATTCTCTCCTGACGTTTCACCTGCATCTATGGCAAGCATAGAGCCTGGCTTTTTACTAGAGCATTCGATCTCTGTTTAATTTTTAATTTTTGTATGTATGTATTTTATCTTTTATAATTTAGCTGTAAATCGCCTAGAGCATTCTTGGATGGAGGGCGATTAATAAGTTATTAAATGATGATGATGATGATGATGATGATGATGATGATAATGATGATTAATGCAACGGGGCAACTTGAGGATACCTGCCATAGATGCAGGCGAAATGTCAGGAGAGAATGCCTCTAGAACATAGCCATATAGCCTGAAAAAACCTACAACAACCCAGTGATTCTGGCCATGAAAGCCTTCGACAATACAATAAACTTTATTTATACCCCGCCACCATCTCCCAGGGGGACTTGGGGCAGCTTACATGAAGCCAAGCCCAACAATACAACAATGAAAATAAACAACATACAACAACAGTAAAATATAAAAATTAAAAAATAAAATACAAGAAAAAATATAAAATCACAATAATTTAAATACAAGAAAATAAGTCATAGTGGCTTGAACTCTGTCCCCAAAATAGAGTCAGTACCTTGGACAGCAATTTTAAATTCAGATTAAAGACCACACTATTAACAAGTAGGGCTAGATCTACACTGCCCCTATTCCAGGATCTGATCCCAGATTTTCTGTTTATCCCAGATTATCTGGTACTGTAGACTCATATAATCTAGTTCAAAGCAGATCAGACCCTGGGATATAGAGCAGTGTTGATGCAGCATTGGACACCAGCTATTTGGATACATACAGCCTTCCTCCTGTGGGAATGGACCTGTGTCCTAGGGAAAGGAGGCCACATAATGAGAAAAGACTCCTTAAAGAAAGCAAGCCATGCTTTTCAACAATTATTTTACCTGTATTGATCAAGAGATATGCTATTGTATGGACCACCTCATGAAATAGGCAGTACTGCCAGCATTGAACTTATATTTACATCAGAAAGGAAATAGTTGTGAAAGATAATAATGTATAATGCTACTCACATGATTACTCTCAGGACTATTACATTACAGTACAAAAAAGAAGCTGGTTACAGAACTACAGCACACTGTTCCCTATTATTTTCTATAAATGTGTAATTTGAATATTTATATTAGCAAGTGCAAACATAAAATTTGACTGGAGTTTGCTTTCTCTCTCTCTCTTTCCTTTTGTCTCTCCAACTCCTGAAAGCATTATGCTACTTTGTCATCCTACGATAGGAAAACAGTAATCTGTGATATTCACCTCTACCATAGAAATGTCATCGGCATCCACGGAAGTCTATAAAAGAGGGAGGACAAGAGATAGAGTAGCAGCAGAATCAAATCTTAGCCTAGATGTTTTTGCACACTTCACAACATATTCTACCTATCTCTAACTGAACTCTGTGCAGGCTAATTTTGTATAACAAATGACAATGATGTATTCTGAGGGGCATCGCTGTTGTGGTTCCTTACAACAATGGACAACTTCAATGGAATATTTGGAAATGCAGTTCAGACATCTAAAGATAAGGTAAATACAACTATAAAGTTTGTAATTTTTTTTTGCTGCTGCAAGAATAACAATAGCAAAATTTTGGGAGGGGGAAAATTATTTATTAAAGGCTGGAGAGAAAAACTATTAGAATATATTCAAACAATCAACCTAACAAATAATATCTGGGGAGAAAATAATGAGGAATTTGCAAAAAAAAATGGATACCTGGAAAGGAAGACAAATATAGATTTGAAAGTAGCCACAAGGGGAATGTATTAAAACAAAAGACACGGGGGTGGGGGGGATTTTAGTAGGTACATGTTCTACACGGAGTAGTGTCAGAAGTCTTAGCTGGTGCGTTCATGGGCTTAGGGGTAGAGGGTAATGAGTTTGCCACTTATCAGTTTAGTCTCCTAATAAGAATGTTGTCCAATCTCGTCATCCAGTCGTTCCAATTCCTATGTCATTTACCTTCATTTTCAAACGCTCCTTCAAACAACCAAGTCTTGACTCTTTTCCAAAATGTTAAGAGAGAGGGGGCTGATCTAATGTCCCCAGGAAGGGTGTTATATTGCTAAGGGACCACCACTGAGAAAGCCATGTCTCCCGTCCCCACCAAATGTGTTTGTGACGCAAACGGGATCGAGAGCAGGGCCTGCCCGGACAATCTTAAAGTCCTAGCAGGTTCATAAGGTATGATGCGTTCAGACAGGTTTTTAATTATATTTTATGTTGTTGGGGGCACCGAATTGTGCCAACTGTAAACCGCCTTGAGTCGCCTTCGGGCTGAGAAAGGAGGTATATAAATATGGTAAATACATAAATACATAAAATTTTCTGTTTTTCTTTCTCATACACAATAAAATTAAAAATTAAAATAGAAGTATTAAAAAAAATTATTTTGTCGCTGCACATAACGGACACCATTGAATATATCAGTGGTTCTCAAGCTTCTTAATGCCACGACCCCTTAATACAAGTTCCACATGTTGTAGTGACCCCCCAACCATAAAATTATTTTCATTGCTACTTCATAACTGTCATTTTGATACTATTATGAATAGTAATGTAAATATATTATATGCAGGATGTATTTTCATTCACTGGACCAAATATGGCACAAATACCCAATACACCCAAATTTGAATGCTGATGGAATGGGGGGAGGGGGGGTGATTGATTTTGTCATTTGGGAGTTGTAGTTGCTGGGATTTATAGTTCACCTATAATCAAAGAGCATTCTGAACTCCATCAGCGGTGGAATTGAACCAAACTTGGCACGCATGACCAACAGAAAATACTCGGTTTGGTGGGCATTGACCTTGAGTTTTAGAGTTGTAGTTCACCTACATCCAGAGAGCACTGTGGACTCAAGCAATGATGGATCTAGACCAAACTTGACATGAATATTCAATATGCCCAAATGTGAATACTGGTGGAGTTTGGGGAAAATAGACCTTGATGTTTGGGAGTTGTAGTTGCTGAGATTTATAGTTCACCTACAGTCAAAGAGCTCACTACCTCTGAGGATGCTTGCCATAGATGCAGGCGAAACGTCAGGAGAAAAATGCCTCTGGAACATGGCCATATAGCCCAGAAAAACCTACAACAACCCAATCAAAGAGCGTTCTGAACCCCACCAATGATAGAATGGCCAAACTTCCCACACAGAACCTCCACGACTAACAGAAAATACTGTGTTTTCTGATGGTCTTTGGTGACCCCTCTGACACCCCCTCGTGACCCCTCTAGGGGTCTCGACCGCCAGGTTGAGAAACACTGGAATATATGGAAGTTGAGCAGGTCTGCCCAGAAAATTTTTGAACATGATTTTTAATTGTGTGCCCTTGTTTAATCTCTGTTTTGTGTATTTTAATACATATTTTACAGAAATACATTTTAATATGTATCTTTTATAGAAATACTTTTTAATATGTGTATTTGTGGTATTTTTACAATGTTTACATGTTTTAATTATTCTGTGACCCACCTCAAGCCACGAGGAGAAGCAGGTAAGAAATCCAGTGGGAGAGAAGGGGGCAGGAACTAAATTCCACTGGATTACCAAGGGTCCACTCTATGTCCAAATTTACAAGGTTCAACTGGGCATACTATTCTACCAACAGGTTGCAAAGTTGTAGGATAGGATGATAAATTATTCCAGCAGCCAACCAGAGAATAGCAAGAGGGCATATCTGTATAAGACCTACAGCAGGCAAATGCACTGAGTTACTCACAAGTCAAACAGCCTAGGTAATTTTCAACGGTAAGCAAAGAGTATTTTGATGCTCCCCCCCCAACCAATCACTGATATATATTTTCTGTTCATCGTAGGAGTTCTGTGTGCCATGTTTGGTTCAATTCCATCATTGGTGGAGTTCAGAATGCTCTTTGATTGTAGGTGAACTTTACATCCCAGTAACAACAACTCGCATATGTCAATGTCTATTTTCCCCCAAGAGCACATCAAGAGCGCCCCTGGGCAAAATCAACTATACTGCAAATGCTTACTTTGCGTAATGGGTTGAGCCGTTCCTGCACACAACTCAACTCCAATACTTCCAAACTGTGAGCGCATCGAGCAGAAATCAGGGGAAATAGTGAGAGGGGGAGAGTGGTGAAAGAGCACAAAGTACTGAACATAAAGGGAAGCACTTCCACAAACAAAAGCTTCTGACAGGAGAAAAAGATTGCAAGCTGAACAAAATGCACAGGCTGAGCTGGAGGGAGAGGGGAGAGGCTAGCAACAGCCCTGGCTGCAAACAATGTGGCTTTGTTCCTTTCTAGCCACTATTTATAGGAATGCATCATTTATGGTCATAGCTGTGGTTACAAGGAAGCAAAATAGCCATTTGGATTTTTCCAAAACAAATGTCACCATGTGAAGAAAAGCACCAGGGGAAAAAAATGAAAAATGAAAGAAGGCACAAAATAGTCAGTTTGATGCTGAAATTTTCTATGAGTACAACGTTAACAAAGAACGTTGGAAGGCTAGGAATAGAATACTTGATGTTGCCATTTGTGTGCTTCATTGTACCAGCGTGGCTACATTTTTTTGCTCTGACTTTGGTAGAAATCCAACAGGCACAAATCACTCACAACTTTTGCTCTAGCAGGAAGACACACTGCAGGAAAGCTTTACCTGTTTGACATTCTATTCAAACTACAGGAAGAGGGACAATAAATAGACCGCAGGCTTAACCCTGGTTATAAATAACTCCAGGCAAGTCTAGATTTGTGTGTGTGTATGTGTGTGCAGCCATTGCTCTGAGTACAGCTGGGTCCAAATATAGGTTGTTGTTTTTTTTTTTGTCGTGTCAGGAGTGACTTGAGAAACTGCAAGTCACTTCTGTTGTGAGAGAATTGGCCGTCTGCAAGGACGTTGCCCAGGGGACGCCCGGGTGATTTGATGTTTCGATCATCCTTGTGGGAGGCTTCTCTCATGTCCCCGCATGAGCTGGAGCTGATAGAGGGACCTCATCCGCCTCTCCCCGGATTCGAACCTGTGACTTGTCGGTCTTCAGTCCTGCCGGGTCAGGGATTTAACCCACTGTGCCACCAGGGGCTTCCCAAATATAGGTGCATACTATATTATGGGAGCCCCCAGTGGTGCAGTGGGTTAAACCACTGAGCTGCTAAGCATGTTGACCAAAAGGTTGCAGGTTCAAATCCGGGGAGCGGCATGAGCTTCTGCTGTCAGCCCCAGCTTCTGCCAACCTAACAGTTCAAAAACATGCAAATGTGAGTAGATCAATAGGTACTGCTCCGGCAGGAAGGTAACAGCACTCCATTCAGTCATGCTGGCCACATGAACTTGGAGGTGTCTATGGACAATGCTGGCTCTTTGGCTTTGAAATGGAGATGAGCACCACACCCCAGAGTCGGACACGACTGGACTTAATGCCAGGGGGAAACCTTTACCTTTACCTACTATATTATGATTATGAGTGCTATATAAAAATTGATCCCATGTATAAATTGAGGACCAGAACTAAGGATTTTGATATAACCTGTGGATAAGTTGAGGATCATTCCATGGAGAGGGAAAAGCACCCCAAGAGACCAATGGCCCTGATTACTGCCACTGCCATTTCTCTGTCAAAGCATTTGGAAAGGTCGGAAGAGGCATCATGGAGGAGAAAGCAGAGGGGGAAGATGCTTCTTTTAAGTTCTCTTTAGATGGTCAACATTGTTATATTTTTCTATGCTACTCAGAGAAGGCGATGGTTCCTTCCTTCTTCTCTTCCTCCTTCCCTTCCTCCCTTCTTTCCTCCCTCCCTCCCTCCCATAAGAGAGGGAAAGGGGGAGGAGGGGGGAGAGAAAGAGAGAGAGATTGATCCTTTCCTTCTTGCCTCACTGCCTCCGCTGGGCTGCTGGGGACTCACAGGGATTCTGTGTGTGTGTGTGTGCCGAGAAACCTCACCCATACTGAGTTATGGGAAGGCATTCTGGGAAATGAAGTCCAGTATTCAAAGAAGGGACAAAAAGGCACACTCTGTGAGTTAGCAAAGGCTGTCCAGGAAGGAAGAATCAAAACACTCCCAAAAGATGGCCATCCATTTTTACTTTATACCAACCTGGGCTATAATATATCTACAATAATAATAATATCTATATATCTATCATAATAATATCTATCAATCTATAATAACATATATGTCTATGATATCTATATGTCTTTAACAATAATATCTACATTTCTATCATAATATCTATATGTCTGTAATAATGTCTATATGCCTATAATAATATCTATAGGTCTATAATAATATCCATACGTCTATTAGTATAATATCTGTCTCTTAAAAATATCTGTACATTTATAACAATAATACCTATATGCCTATAATATCTATGTCTATAATAATAATAATATTTATATAAAGTATAATATGTATACATCTATAATAATAATAGCTATATAATATCTATAAAATAACAATAAAAATAATAACATCTATATGTCTATAATAATATCTATAGGTCTGTAATAATATCCATACGCCTGTTTCCTGTTTTTCCTCGAAAAATATTGAGCCCTGTGCTCCTATTTTTTATCAATTTTATACTAATTTATGCAATGCTTTTCATATGAAATTCATAAATAAATAACATCTATAATACTAATACCTATATACCTTTTATAATAATATTTCTATCTATAATAATAATAATATCTATATGCCTATAATCAGGCATGTAGCCGGGGGCGGGGGGGGGGGGGGGCTTGAGGGGCTTCCGCCCCCCCCCCCGAAATTCTCATGGTGGTTCGCGAAAAGGCCTTACTGGTGCATTATTTAAACTGTTATGTTTATTCATATCATGATCTGATCACCATACTCAATATATCCCATATGCATGGGGGTATTGGGGTAATGATACAAAAGGTTTGCTAGGCTAGACCCTCTTTCACTCAGACTCAGCCCCCCCCCAAACTCTGCCCCCCTGAAACCCCCCAAAAATTTACCCCCCCCCCCGAAACGAAATCCTGGCTACGGGCCTGCCTATAATAATATCTATATGTCTATAATGACAACAATACCTATATAATAACTTGGAACTGGGTTATATGGCAGTGTGGACTCAGATAACCCAGGGCCTTTCCACACATCCATATAACCCTTTGGCCTCAAGGAGACTGAGATGGTCCGGTATTAGGCTGACACTTTGCCACTTTCGTTGTGTATTGATAGCTTAGAAACCAGCTCTTTCTCTTTTCTTTCTTTCCCATTTCTCCATAACGGGCCACAGCAACGCATGGCGGGTACAGCTAGTATCCAATAAATCTTACTTTCTTGCTTGCTCATATATTTTCAAGACACTTCTCCTTGTTAAATAGAATTCATGGGGAGATGTCCATTTTTGCACAGAGTGTCACCTTTTTGGTGAAATACTAATTTGCCCTCCAATGGTGATTTTGTCCAGAAGGCAATGTATTTTCTACAACATACATTGATATGTTGGTTTGGAACTCAAAAACTTTCCACAAAGAACCCTCTCCCCCCCCCCCGCCCATTTGTGAAAAAGCTTGCAGCACTTGTCCTTTTTTCTCAACACGTTTACCTTGCTGTCTCAAGACATCCTTTCTTGTCAAGGATAAGAAAACATGCAAGGATGCTTTACACCCCAAGTTGTGAGCGGTGAGAAATTGTCAAGACCTCTGAGTGACTGTTGATGGAAGTGTGGCAGAGGCATAAACATAGCACTGTTTTCTTTTCTTTTTTAAAGCCTAATCTTATCTGCCATAAACACACTTTCCTTTCTACTTGTCTAACAGGGACGGCTTCTAAAAGTCAGTTTTCATCTGGATATTCTGGTCCTGTATACTTTCTGGACAAATTGATTTCCAGTTGAAATGCATTTGTTTACAATGTAATAGCATCACTCCCCCTAACATTAATGGTAAAAGACATCCAGTGACCTGTTTGGCAGAACTGGTCCAAGGCCACAGCAAACATGAGGAGTGGGGCAGTATATTCAGAGGTGAGAACCCCTATGCCCATCTTTTTGAATTAATAAGATGAAGTGGACAGTGATTCCTTGTCAGTTTTTTTGTATGTGTCAGGAGTGACATGAGAAACTGTGAGAGAATTGGCTGTCTCAAAGGGCATTGCCCAGGGGGTGCCCAGATGTTTTGATGTTTTACCATCCTTGTGGGAGGCTTCTCTCATGTCCTAGCATGGGAAGCCTGAGCTGACAGAAGGAGCTCATCCACGCTCTCCTCAGATTCGAATCTCTGACCTGTCGGTCTTCAGTCCTGCTGGCACAAGGGTTTAACCCATTGCGCCACTGGGGACTCCCTTGTCACTTAATGCTAGTGTTTGTTGAAATCATGCCAATTGATGGGAGAAGCCAGAGAATAGTGGAGGGATGCCATGAAGGCATTTAGATCTGCATAATGCACAGATTTTCTGTATAGGGGGAAACTAAGAGTCAGGAGTACAGGGTTTTCTGTGGAGACAATGGGCAGATAAGCACAGTCAACTATATTCAACTATACTTGTATTTCCTTTACAGGGTAAGAAAATGAGAGGGAACAGAGAGACAACAGATAGAAATGTTCCAAAATGGATTATATTGAATACAGTAAGACTCCCGTATTCATAGGGGATACATCTGGAGAGGCCCTGCTTGTGATCCCGCCTGCGTCGCAAGCACGTTTGGTGGGGACACGAGACAGGGCCTTTTCTGTGGTGGCCCCCCGACTCTGGAACACCCTCCTCAAAGATCTTAGACAGGCCCCTACATTGGCAGTCTTTAGAAAGAACTTGAAGACCTGGCTGTTCCGATGTGCTTTCCCAGAATAGTAAATCTCCAATACCAAGTCCCAGAAGCACTTTATTAGAACTAAGATTGCCGCACACTGCACACTGCACTTTCCCTATAATCCTTATATACCACCTGTCACATCAGCACTTTTAATTTCTGTACCCATTACTCTGGCCCGGCCCAGTTTTTATTGTGTTTTGGTGTATTGTTTATTGTTTGTTGTTTTGTTGTTTAATATTGCTTTAATTGTTTTTAATTTGCTTTAGGTTTGTATTGTTATGTTGTGTATTGAGGCCTTGGCCTTTGTAAGCCACACCGAGTCCTTCGGGAGATGCTAGCGGGGTACACATAAAGTTAATAACATTCCCAGCTCGATCATAGTTATGTGGAATTGTGGATAAGCCCAAATACCATAATATTACCTTACTTCTGGTCCCAGCAAACCACTGTGGTACATTGGAGGACCTAAAGATTATCAGAGTTGTATCCTCTATAGTAATTTGCTAGATACTCCAACACAACTCTGTAGTAATACCCTGGGGATGCATATTATAGAATCAACATAGCAAATTCCTAGAGAGACTATCACCCCATCCCTCCAAGTTGTGAGTAAGGGACACCATGTATATGGATTCTATGGTTACGGGGATCTGACTGTAATGCGGAGATCTATGAATATGTATGATCTGAAAATACAAATTTTAGTTACCCTTTCAAAAATCCCAGAATCGTGGCTTCTCAGTTTAGATTTGGCCTTGATGGTTTCAGTCGTGTCTTCATATATTCTGTAGGAAACTGACCCATTGGCGACTCTGGAATTCTGGCTACTGATATCGGCTTCTGTGTCAGTCCAATCCTGCAGAGATATGTCAACGGGAAAGCTTTAGAGATTCTATGTGGGCTTTATTACTTTTTTTTCATGATCCCCTAAGACACACACCAAAGTAGACTAATGAAAAGAAACAGAAATAGAAAGGGGGCATCAAGAAAGCCTGTCACAGGACCAGTTGACATGATCAGCAGGTTCAGACAGTAAGTTAGATTCTGGATTCTGCCCCTTGAGGCTGTTAATGGACTTTGTATGTTCATTGAATATTTCAGTGTTATTTCACTGGAAATAAAACTGCTGCACTTACCCCCTGCCCTGAAGAAGAATATTAGGGTGAAGATCAGACTATTATATGTTGCTTATGCCATTTGTTACAACCACTCTGCACCATTTTAAAACATATTTCTCCATTTGTCTGTATCAGGACTGGAGAGCACACGGGTCATGAACTGTTGTTAGACTGCAACTTTCATCAACATCACCTAGTATAGCTAATATTGATGGATGATGGCAATTGCAATCCATTATTTGTGGAGGGCTATACATTCTCATATGTGTCCTATTCTCAGGAAATAAGGGGACAAGAGGGAGCCCCTAGTTTTTGGGGTGTGAGGAGGGCTGACCCCAGCCACATTGAATCACTGTGGTGGTTAAAATGGAGTGTCAGGACCATAGACAGAGCATTTGCTGTCAGTATTTGGAAAAAATATTGTTTGGATTACAACTTCAAGAATCCATACTGGCCATGTTAGCTGGGGGGGGGGGGAAGAGAACTACAATAAAAAGTAACTTTTCAGATCTTTGTTAATCCTCTTCAATGAGCCATTTTCAATGCTGATCTCATATAGGTGTATAGCAATGTGATGATGCTCGGGTAGCATATGTGGAACTGGCCAAATGGCATTGAAACTAACTGTCCCAACTCTGCTTCCTGCAAATATTAGTCCTTTGGTAGAAACTAAGGATCTCTTCACACTTGCCTATTTTTGCAGCAGCAGCAGCGGGAGTTTTTAACTTCAGCCATGGATGGCTCCCATCACATTGTGGAGAATGACTTCTGTTAAGAATCCTCGCAGACTAGAATGAAAATGCTCACAGTCTTGATATTGCAGGATTGCAAACCAGAGGAATCACTAATGGTTGTGTTGCTGTTGTGCCTTAGAGCAATTTCCATTTTATGGTGACCCTAAAGCGACTCTATCACAAGATTTATTCAGGGTGTGGGGGGGTTGCCTTTGTCTTCCTCTGCGGCTCAGAAAGTGCAACTTGCCCAAAGTGACCCAATAGACTTTCCATGTCTGAGCAGGGATTTGAAGCCTAGTCTCCAAAGACATGGTCCAGTGATCTAATCATTACACTATGCTGATTCTCAATGGTTGTGCAGAAGCAGGAATTTCAAAAGAAGTTGCTTGTCCACTCTGGGAAAGGTTACTATTTCTGACAGTAAATGCTTTCTCCCCTTAATCCAAAGCAACCATATGGGAGAAATATAACAATATAATGGCACTTGATAGAGAATTTAGTGAAGGTGAATACTATTCTCAGTTCCTGTTGAACCCATTTGGGAATGGGGAGGGGAAATGAAACAAAACTCTTGTTGGTTGCAGATCAACTTTGCCTCGGTCTTCTCACAAGAAAGTAATCTTCAACCTCAGCAAGATGGAGTGGATGAGGGATTAGAGGACATCCAACCCCAAATTGGGAAACAAGTTCGTCCAGGAATACCTGGCCGCTCTAAATGAGTTCAAGTCCCCAGGGCCAGATCAACTACACCCAAGAGTATTGAAGGAACTAGCGGAAGTCATTTCGGAACCATTGGCAACCATCTTTGAGAGTTCTTGGAGAACGGGAGAAGTTCCAGCAGACTGGAGGAGGGCCAATGTGGTCCCAATCTTCAAGAAGGGAAAAAAGGATGACCCAAACAATTACCGTCCGGTCAGCCTCACGTCAATACCAGGCAAGATTCTGGAAAAGATTGTTAAGGAAGTGGTCTGCAAACACTTAGAAACAAATGCGGTCATCGCTAATAGTCAACATGGATTTATCAAAAACAAGTCATGCCAGACTAATCTGATCTCTTTTTTCGATAGAGTTACAAGCTGGGTAGATGCGGGGAATGCCGTGGATGTAGCGTACCTGGATTTCAGTAAGACCTTCGACAAGGTCCCCCATGACCTTCTGGCAAACAAACCAGTCCAATGTGAGCAAGGCAAAACTATGGTGAGGTGGATCAGTAATTGGTTAAATGGACGAACCCAGAGGGTGCTCACTAATGCTTCCTCTTCATCCTGGAAAGAAGTGACAAGTGGAGTGCCGCAGGGTTCCGTCCTGGGCCCGGTCCTGTTCAGGATCTTGAGTAATGACTTAGATGAAGGGTTAGAAGGCAGGATCATCAAGTTTGCAGACGACACCAAATTGGGAGGGATAGCCAATACTCCAGAGGACAGGAGCAGGATTCAAAACGATCTTGACAGATTAGAGAGATGGGCCAAAACTAAAAAAATGAAGTTCAATAGTAGCATAGTGTCTAGATCCAGGGAAGTAATGCTACCCATGCTCTATTCCGCTTTGGTTAGACCACATTACCTGGAATATTGTGTCCAATTCTGGGCACCACAATTCAAGAGAGATATTGACAAGCTGGAATGTGTCCAGAGGAGGGCGACTAAAATGATCAAGGGTCTGGAGAACAAGCCCTATGAGGAGCGGCTTAAGGAGCTGGGCATGTTTAGCCTGAAGAAGAGAAGGCTGAGAGGAGATCTGATAGCCATGTATAAATATGTGAGAGGAAGCCACAGGGAGGAGGGAGCAAGCTTGTTTTCTGCTTCCCTGGAGACTAGGATGCAAAACAATGGCTTCAAACTACAAGAGAGGAGATTCCATCTGAACATGAGGAAGAACTTCCTGACTGTGAGAGCCGTTCAGCAGTGGAACTCTCTGACCCAGAGTGTGGTGGAGGCTCCTTCTTTGGAAGCTTTTAAACAGAGGCTGGATGGCCATCTGTCAGGGGTGATTTGAATGCAATATTCCTGCTTCTTGGCAGGGTTGGACTGGATGGCCCATGAGGTCTCTTCCAACTCTTTGATTCTATGATTCTATTATTCAACTTACTTGTTGGGCTGCAACACTCCTGTTTCATTTGTTGTTGCGATTTGCCTACAACTCATTTCTGATTGATGATGAGCTGTTACGAATTGTGAGAGCTGAAGTCCAAAACATCTGGAGGAGCACAGTTTGAGAAACACTGCCCTAAGGCATACCTAGAGTATGATAAGCAGGCAGAACGGAGGAACTGACTTTTGTTTTGTGATTACATTACTCCAGGCTCCACATGCTTATGTATAAGGAGACAACTGGAATATATTTGCCTTATTAAAAACAAAATAAAAGAGGAAAAGTATTTATGGAAGTCCTGAATTGGTTGCCATACTTGTACATGGGTATGGAAAGGGACTAGTCAGTCTGGTTTTTATTAACTAGACCAGCTTTGTTAGATTTTACTCAGGGATTTAAAATATGTGGCATTCAGAACCATCACAGTGGAAAGCCCTGAAAAGAATTCAGAGCATGTCAGCCTTTCCTAAAAGCACATTGATCTTTTTTTAAAATAACAGCTTAGAGGACATAATAGCATTTTTGTGTTTTTAGAGCTTGTATTAAAACATACACACACAAACTGGTTGAGAAATATTATACTAACATGCCTAAAATAGTACAGAAAAAGAGCCCCAGGCTCCAAAATATGGAACTACTTCCGGCATCGGAACGAGGAGCAACATTTGGTTGTACTTAGCAGGAAAAAAAGCAGGCTGTTTAAAGCCTCTAGATTGGGGAAAATGGCCCTTTGATGGATTTATCAATTTGTCTCAATCTGCCAGCAAATCTCTTAAACGCAGCTCACTTTATTTACAAAAGCATTCACATTTCATTCACAAACATGTGCCTTTCCATCTTGTAAGGTCTTTCAGCCATGCTATTTATTGTAGTGATTATGAGACATTGCCTTCACATCAGGACACTCATTGTGGGTACAATGGATTATCTTAAACTAGAAACACAACCCTTTTCTGAATTGGGCTCCAGTCACACTGGAAAAAAGCATTTCATGATCAGAAGTCCCCAACGGACTGTAGCAGTTGCCACAATCGGCTGGAGAGCTCCAGTCCATACTTCTCTCCAGTGAGTTGTCTCACCCACCGTCTATGGTGCCGGAATGTGCCTTTCAGCACCAAAGAAGAAAAGGAAAGCAGCTGGAATCTTAAAATTACAGTCAGCCTTCCTTGTCCATGGATTTTGCACCCACAGATTCAACCATTCATGGCTTGAAAAGAATAATAATTTTAAACTTTCCAAAAATAAACCTAGATTTTATTACTTTATTAAAATACACTTTTATGTATGCCATTACATAATGGAACTTGAGCATTCACAGAGTTTGGTATCCACAGGGAGTCCTGGGACCAAATCCCAGTGGATACCAAAGACTACTGTACTTATTTATTATTTATTTTATTTACTTTATTTGTATAGCGCTGTTCTCAGCCCTTAGGCGACTCACAGCGGTTAACAACAAGAACAGCAAAAATACAATGCAACAATAACACGATATAAAAACAGTTAACATCATAACACATTATACAATAATATACAATTAACAACAATAGCCATTCAGTAGCGTTTGTTCCTTTTGGCAATGAATGTTTACCACTTGGTTCTTTTGTTTGTAAACCACCCTAAGTCCCTTTAGGGAGATAGGACAGTGTATAAATGACACATTGTTAATATTATTATATTGCTGGCCCCTGTTCTTTTTTTTTTTTTTTTTTAGGATAGAGCTGCGTAATCTGATTTATTTATTTATTTTTCAAGGTGGCCAATTGATTTTAACTTTTTATTATTGCAAGTTTTATATATTCAGTGTTTAAACATTCTTATACTTATCACTTGCCCTTAACAAATTATATAGAGAGCATATATGTCTTAATACCTATAATATATATTTCATCCTCTCACTTTATTACAGTCTGTCCAATCGCCTAGTGCTGACCCTTCACCCTAGGCCAGCCAATTACATTACTTATTTTCAAAATTCCATTGTTTCTATTACAGGTTTGGTCCCCTTCCCTTCTATATATACATATTCTATCAGTTTTCCCCATATCTTCCCAAACTCATTTTTTTCCAGTACTCCTCTTAATCTTTATACTACCTGTCAGTTTATCATTTATTGCAGTATCCCAGATCCCTCTACCACTCTTCCAATTGGCACTCCCCTCCTTTTTTCGCTATTAACAATCTTGCTGCTGTTACCAGATTGGCAATTAATTCCTTTAGCTCCTTTGATATTTTAACATTATCAATAAGTGATAGCAGTGCTATTTCCGGCATTCCTGCTATCTCTACTTGGGTGATTGCTGGCCCCTGTTCAGAGCTCCCTCCTTTCAGGACATTTCAGCCTCTTTTCAACCCTGAAACATTTGATGAGCTCAGTGCTTCTCCATGCTAGGAAAGAGGCTGGAGTGCCCTATGAAGGGGAAATTTCTCAATGTGAGGAGGTTGTTGGAGGATGAGCCATACTCTCTCAGCCTCAGAGGAAGGCCAAGCAAAGCTCTCTTTATAGTGAGGGAGCGTGGCTTAGAAGTGCACCTTACTTGCTCCTATTTGGAGCAAAGGGGATGATTAAGCTTTCTTGTTCTTTTGTTTACTAGATGAATTCTTGCAGGGCTGAAGAAGAAGTGGGATGGCACACAATGGTACACATAGAGAGAATGGACCATGGAATAATAGTTGCAATCAGCTGGAGGCTTCTGACCATACAAAGGTTTTCTTGAATTTATTATTAAGTCAGACCATAATAATAAGTCATTTGTGTCCTTTCAAAATGATGCCAGAGGGGTTTTTTTTTAGCTCTCTTTTGGTCCCTTCTGGATATTCTCTTCTGGAGGTGAGCACCTGAGGCTCTCCAGATATTTTTGTTCACTGTTCCCATCAACTCTAGCCAGCGAGGTGAGAAATTGTGAGAGCCGCTAACCAAAAACACACCTGAAAGGCCACACTTGCATACATCTGCTTTATATTTCACGCGTAATGTGTTCAAACAGAAGCAAGTGTGCCTGATATCAGAAACAGTTTCAGGGGCAGGGGAAGCAGGGACAGCCATGTTTACCTGTTCCAGAAAAAAACAATACTGACTTGTCCCACCTTAAAGACTTAGCAAGTTTTACCTAGCACAGGTTTTCACAGATACCAGTTTTTACAAAGTTCAGATTTCATTAATGATATCTGATGAAGAGCATCGGAGTCCATGAAGGCTTACGCCAGGGGTCCACAAACTTTATAAACAGAGGGCCAGGCCACAGTCCCTCAAACTGTTGGAGGGCCAGATAATTTGAAAAATATATATGAATGAATTCCTGTGCACACTGCACATATCTTATTTGTAGTGCACAAACACTTAAAATACAATAATTAAAATGAAGAACAATTTTAACAAATATAAACTTATTAGTATTTCAATGGGAAGTGTGGACCTGCTTTTGGCTGACAAGATAGCATTGCTGCTGCTGCTGTTGTTGTGTGCTTTCAAGTCACTTCAGACTTACTTTGACCCTGAGCAAAGCCTGAGTAAGTGACCTTGGAGGACCGTATCCGGCCCCTGGGCCTTAGTTTGATGACCCCTGGATTACGCCAAATCAAAATGATTGGTTTTTAAGATGCCTCAAGGCTCTTTATTGTTGTTTGAGCAAAAAAATCAAGCTCAGTAATACAACAGTCAAGTTTTAATTTGAAGAATTATCACCCTAGATTTGACCAAGATACTAGTCCTTTACACACATTTGTTTCCACCTGCAGACTAGATTCCTGGACTGAAGGAAGGCAACCCTGTCAGTTTGTTTTGTTTCTAACACTGCATATCTCATTGTTGCACATTCTGATGTCATCACTCCCTACAGTTATGTTTAGCACAATGTCTGAAAGATGAAATATCCAAGACCAGTCCCAATTGGAGTCTGAATGAATAGATAAGATAGCACTTATGGCAGATAGCAGTCACCCATGAAAGGGAAGTCACGCAGGGTGGCTTGTAGTGTCACACGTACCCTCCCTCCTTTCCCCATCATACGGTGGGGATGGGACAGATTGTGTTGGCACCCTGTCCCTATCAGATGGGAGAAAGGGTGGCAATGCATGTTGCCCCACCACCTTTTTCCTATCATACGGGGAAAAGGTGGAGTAAAGTATGGGTAGGTCCATCAGAGCTACCCAAAATACACTTTCCTCCCCGTAGTGGTGGAGGAAGCAGCTTTCGGCACTTCCGCTCCAGTTTGGGAGGAATGTTGGCGGGACCTGCTGTGTGTTGTGTGATGGCACAAGGCTGGCCCTGTCCTTGCCACAAATAAAAGCAGAAAAACTGGGCAAAACTATCCCATGTGAAAGGTCCTTAAAATCCTTTGCACATACAGAAGCGAACTGTACTGCTTGCTGATTCTTTCTTCAACACTGGCAAAGTGGCATTATTCTCTACTGCCCTTTGAGGCCAAATAGGCCATAGGGTCCCTATGGAGTTCACTGCAACTGCTAGCTACCAGGATCTGCCACTTGAACCATTTGCTTCATTCTGCACAGTAATGTGAGCACCGTATTAATCATATTTGCACAGGCTCTCATGCTCAATGTACGGACATCTTAGGCAGTTAGCACAATCCTGACCTTACTCATGAAAGCAAATATGGGTGAGATTCTCGTAGTTGTATCTGAGTTCTGCTTTTGACTTCAACCACAATTAAGATTAACCACACTGTAGAGTTCAGACACAATTCTACTCTGTGGTTAATTGAAAATTGAAGTAAAAGTTCCTATTATCCTTGTAATGGTGTCAGAGCAGAGAAGAAATGCCTTAATGCAGCCAATATTAAACTAGCTTCCTAATACTGTTTTATTGATTATTCCTGTGCAATTTGTACTTAGTCTGGTACCAGTTTCCATTACCTTTTAAGATATACTTTCTGGTAATTGCTTTATGGTGTTATATCTTACCCAGCTCACTGTCTGTCCATTCATTTGCGCTTTATGTTAAGACAAGGAAGACAAAGTATTTCCTTACAGATTCACTGTCTGAGACAGAGGATAACCTCCGGTGTCCTCTTGGCACTCCATTTATATCAGAGGACTGGCTGGTGACAGTGGGACGTCTGGTGGAGGGGTAGCTGGAGTCCTTGCGGGGAACTCTTAGCAGAGATCCAAGGCATGGAAGAAACTTTGCAATCGCCATTCTATCAGATAAGAAACGGGATGAGACAGTTGTTCCCTACCTAAATAGAACTACGAGCATAAACAAACAAACAAGCCCTTGTGAGTGCTATATATGCTAAATTGATTCCACACAAGCTAAACACATATACTGTATTCATTTGGGGCAAATCTGATGATACCTTAAAAGCAGGCTTTTCTCTTCTTCTATTTCTAGGATTTTTTAAAAAAAGATTTCATAGAAGCCTTTCATAGTGCAATAATTCAGTCTCATTCACATAATTATATCAAGGATAGGGGAAGTATTTGCAGAGCTCGGAATAAAATATTTGAGATGACTCAAAAAAAAAAAAGGATAGGGGATCATCTTTCATTTTAACTCTCTTGTGTTATTCTACTGCATAGTTGTACGATGTTTTTTTATTGTTGACCTCCATCTAAATTCAGTCCTGAGACCCATTAGCACTACTTAATTATAGCATTATGATTTTACTTTAACTGCCATGGCAGTATTCTTTGGAATCCTGAATTCTGCAGTTTAGGATGGGGCATTTTGGATTTTTAGACAGAGAGTTCCTCTAGTATTTTTTTTATGTATCGTGTCATCAGCAATCATACCATTGTATTACATTTCTAACAGAACAAAACAAACAAACAGATAAAAAACACAAATTTTGCAAACTTGGTAGTTGATTAAATGTCCTTTGACCAGTATCTGGCCACTTGGAGTGCTTCTGGTGTTGCTGCAAGAAGGTCCTCCATTGTGCATGTGGCAGGGCTCAGGTTGCATTGCAGCAGGTGGTCAGTGGTTTGCTCTTCTCCGCACTTGCATGTCGTGGATTCCACTTTGTAGCCCCATTTCTTAAGATTGGCTCTGCATCTCGTGGTGCCAGAGCACAGTCTGTTCAGCACCTTCCAATCGCCCAGTCTTCTGTGTGCCCAGGAGGGAGTCTCTCATCTGGTATCACCCACGGATTGAGGTGCTGGGTTTGAGCCTGCCACTTTTGGACTCTCGCTTGCTGAGGTGTTCCAGCGAGTGTCTCTGTAGATCTAAGAAAACTATTTCTTGATTTAAGTTGTTGACGTGCTGGCTGATACCCAAACAGGGGATGAGCTGGAGATGTCTCTGCCTTGGTCCTTTCACTATTGGCTGCTACTTCCCGGCGGATGTTAGGTGGTGCAATACTGGCTAAGCAGTGTAATTTCTCCAGTGGTGTAGGGCAGACACCCTGTGATAATGCGGCATGTCTCATTAAGAGCCACATCTACTGTTTTAGTGTGGTGAGATGTGTTCCACACTGCGCTTACATACTCAGCAGCAGAATAGCAAAGCACATGAGCAGTTAGCTTCAATGTGTCTGGTTGTGTTCTTCAGGTTGTGCCAGTCAGCTTTCATATGATATTATTTCTAGCACCCACTTGTGCTTGATGTTCAGCAGTGCTTCTTGTAGGTCAGAGCACGTCCAGAGTGACTCCCAGGTATTTGGATGCGCTGCAATGCTCCAGTGGGATTCCTTCCCAGATGATCCTCAGAGCTCGGGATGCTTCTGTTCTTGAGATGAAAGGCACATGTCTGTGTTTTAGATGGATTAGGGATCAGCTGGTTTTCCCTGTAATAGGCAGTAAGAGCACCTAGAGCTTCGGAGAGCTTCTGTTCGACCATCTCAAAGCTCCCTGCTTGAGCGATAATGGCACGATCATCACTTCCTCTAGTGCAGTGGTTCTCAACGTGGGGTCTCCAGATGTTTTTGGCCTACAATTTCCAGAAATCCCAGCCAGTTTACCAGCTGTTAGGATTTCTGGGAGTTGAAGGCCAAAAACATCTGGGGACCCAACGTTGAGAACCACTGCTCTAGTGCCTCACCAAATTACAGGCCTCGGTATTCCAGATGATGCAGCAATGGCAATTAACAAGAAATCATAGGGCTGTATATAGTGTGAATGGGCCCCATGTTACCCTAAAGCATGGACAAGGGACCTATAATTTTCCTATTATTGCAACCCTGCCTCTCCTAACATACCTGACCATTGACTAGGTTTAATGGCTTTACTTCTATCTGAAAGCCACAGAATCCACTGCCCTAAAAATGCACATCATTTTTTTTTTAAAAAAGAGAGAAAACCTATCTTTTTTACAAAAGATGAAACTTACCTGTATTTGGGATGAGCAATGGCATAAATGATTGGGTTGTGGATAACAGAAGCCTTGGCAATCACTGCAGGGACTGAGTTCATGTATGGTGTGAGGAGATGGGAGTATCTACAATGATAAGGCAAACGTGCTTTAGACACAGTTCTGTTAGAGCATTGCTTACATGCTTCTCCTTTCTACATAATATCTCGCACATCTGAAATCTCTACAAACTTTCCTCACATGCTAGCAGTTAAGTAAACAGAGCCAAGCCAGACATGCAAAGGTTGTCTCCTGGATCCACCTCAACTACATTCCAATGGAGAATAGAATGACTAGTCATCTCTCTATCCAAAGGCACTGCACAATGTAGAAACTCCTTGGACTATACATAGTAGATCATTAACAGCCCAATACATACACTAAACCAAACACCTATATCAAAAAAGCAACAGGTCATCATGGAAAATTATAGAACCAATAAGCTACAAAACAAAACTGTATTTATTCAAAAGTACTAAAATAACAAAAAGTTTCAGGCATTAAGAAATTGACAATGCTAGCAATCAGAGAAATGCTAGCAACTAGAATCAATAGCATCCATAGCAACTGCCATTGACAAAGGCCCCCAAAACAAGAATACCATCAGTTTATGGTATTACTCGGGAAGAAGTCAGGTGGATTTCCTTAAATAAGGATCTCCACGGTGTGAACACTGCAGTGGAAATGACCCTGCTGTTGATTTGGGCAAATGCTGAAGGGAAATAAATTCTGATCTTAATGTAAAGGGATAAGGGTAATCTTACATTTTTTAAAGTTCACTAGTAGACTGGTCTGGTCTACCCATGGCTGTAGAGTGAAGAGGGGCAGCCAGGAAGACAGATTTCCACCATGTCTCCTGGGTCATTGGCTGGGAGCCCCTCCCCCCAGCAACAATACTACATCTGCCTGCCAGGAGAAAAAGGAAATCCTTCTGCTTCTCCCCACTCCCCAAGCCAGCTAAGAGGAGGAAGGGGACTGAGGAAGAGACTTTAAAAACACATGTCTCCTGGCTGTTGCTTACTACAACTGCCTGCCACCTCAGGAGGAGAAAGAGGAAATTCTGCTGCTACTCTCCCCCTCCCAAGCCAGCTAAGAGGAGGAAGGGGACTGAGGAAGAGACTTTAAAAACACCTGTCTCCTGGCTGTTGCTTACTACATCTGCCTGCCACCTCAGGAGGAGAAGGAGGAAATCCTGCTGCTACTCTCCCCCTCCCAAGCCAGCTAAGAGGAGGAAGGGGACTGAGGAAGAGACTTTAAAAACACATGTCTTCTGGCTGTTGCTTATTATTTCTGTTGTGATTTTATATTGTATTTAATGTTTTATGTGCATTTTGATATTATATATATATATATATATATATATATATATATATATATATAACTTGTTGTCGGTAAACCGCCTTGAGTCGCCGAAAGAATGAGAAAGGCAGTAAATAAATAAATAAAAATATTAGACTGGTGTGGTCTACCCATATCTGTAGACCTGCATTTGGCATCAGATCACATATCAAATAGCCCTTATCCTAACTCTACAATCCCTCTGCAACTGACGAATTCAGGTCTCTACAAAAGCAAGCTGCCCCTTTCTTAGCAGCAGTGTAGGTGAAGCAGGAGGAAGGGAGAGAAGGGGTAAGTTTGGCTAGATTTTGATTCTGGACTACCCACAGTTGTCATACAACCTCAGATATTTCTCCTAAAGGAATGTGGCCTTCAACATGAAAAATGGGTTTAAATCTCTAGGTAGAAAATTTAAAGTGTGCAACAACACAAAAATCAGCCAATGCAACTAGGCTAGGATTGGCAAAGGCTTAGGATAGTTACTTCTTTGGACTTCAGCTTCCATACTTGCATGCTTCTATCTATCCAAGCAAACCCAAGTATGGGATTGATTGCAAGGCTGCATCCCATGATGAAATTTTTTTGCATGTTTTTGCACACATTGACTTGATCCCAGATAAATCTGGAAATATGCAGCTGTGAGATCAGAGTCCAACATGTGCTCCACTTACAGTAATATCCAAGACATTCCCCATTTATCATTCCTCACTCCAGTGATGTCCTGCTTGATATAGGGAATGTCTTGAATCATACTTTTGCATTCATAATTGCGGAACCATTTACCACATTGTTCTTTCATTAATTCTGTTCCCTTTTATTTATGTTTCTTTCTATAAAAAATGAAGTTGATGATTACCCTGCAAAAGCAACCAAGGCTACCACAGAATACGGAGACCAGGAGATGACATAAAGCAAGATGACAATCAAGGCTACTTTGGCCATTTTCCACTCATTCTTCAGCTTCTGGTAGAGTTTTTGACCTTCTTTACTGTTGTCTGAATTGGTCCTTTGAACAGCCCTGGGGAAAAAGCAAACATATGCAGAAATGCCTTTGTAGGTAAAAATGATGCTAGCCAACTCAGGATGTCTTATATATGGATGATGGCTTGGATCCAAAGAGCCACTTTCATTAACAAATGGTCTTCCGATTATACAAAAATATTTTGCCAATTCTCATCTCTCTTCTGTAGACTCTCATGTCACAAAAAAGCTACCTTGGAAGATTAAGAGCCCTTCCACAAAACCCTATATTCCACAATATCAAGGCAGAAAATCTTTCAATATCTGCTTTGAAGTGGGTTATCTGAGTCCACACTCAGATAATGTCGGATTTTCTGCCTTAATATTCTGGGATATAGGGCTGTGTTGAAGGGCCCTTAGTATTGGATTATGATTCTGAAGACCAGGGTTCAAATCCCTGCTTATGTTTGGCAACCTAATATGTGACCTAAGGCAAGTCATAGTCTTCCAGTCTCAGAGGAAGGCAAAGTAAACCTTGTGATATGGTGATAAGTTTGGCCTTTTCTACACTGCCAGATAATCCAGGTTTTTTTTTTTTTGTCGTGTCAGGAGCGACCTGAGAAACTGCATGTCGCTTCTGGTGTGAGATAATTGGCCGTCTGCAAAAATGTTGCCCAGGGGACACCCGGATGATTTTTGATGTTTTATCATCCTTGTGGGAGGCTTCTCTCATGTCCCCACATGAGAAGCTGGAGCTGATAGAGGGAGCTCATCCGCCTCTCCCCGGATTTGAACCTGCGACCTGTCGGTCTTCAGACCTGCCAGTACAGGTGTTTAACCCACTGCGCCACAGGGGACTCCATAATCCAGGTTATCCCAGCAGAAATCCACATTATCTGATTTGAGCTGGATTATCTTAGTCTACACTGCCATATAATCCAGTTCAAAGCAGATAATGTGGATTTTGTACACCTGTGTAGACAAGGCCTTAGAAACAACTTGCAGGCATATCACAACATGTCTTAGGTGATTTTTTTTTTCTCTTCAGGGAAGGAGAGGGAAATAATTCAAACAAGGAAAGTAGAGTCATAGAATCATAGAATCAAAGAGTTGGAAGAGACCTCATGGGCCATCCAGTCCAACCCCCTGCCAAGAATCAGGAATATCAAATCACCCCTGACAGATGACCATCCAGCCTCTGTTTAAAAGCTTCCAAAGAAGGAGCCTCCACCACACTCCGGGGCAGAGAGTTCCACTGCTGAATGGCTCTCACAGTCAAGAAGTTCTTCCTCATGTTCAGATGGAATCTCCTTTCTTGTAGTTTGAAGCCATTGTTCCGTCCTAGTCTCCAGGGAAGCAGAAAACAAGCTTGCTCCCTCCTCCCTGTGGCTTCCTCTCACATATTTATACATGGCTATCATATCTCCTCTCAGCCTTCTCTTCTTCAGGCTAAACATGCCCAGCTCCTTAAGCCGCTCCTCATAAGGCTTGTTCTCCAGACCCTTGATCATTTTAGTCGCCCTCCTCTGGACACATTCCAGCTTGTCAATATCTCTCTTGAATTGTGGTGCCCAGAATTGGACACAGTATTCGAGCAGTGGTTTAACCAAGGCAGAATAGAGGGGTAGCATTATTTGCCTAGATCTAGACACTATGCTCCTATTGATGCAGGCCAAAATCCCATTGGCTTTTTTTGCTGCCACATCACATTGTTGGCTCATGTTTAACTTGTTGTCCACGAGGACTCCAAGATCTTTTTCACACGTACTGCTCTCAGCCAGGCATTGTCCCCCATTCTGTATCTTTGCATTTCGTTTTTCCTGCCTAAGTGGAGTATCTTGCATTTCATAGAATCATAGAATCATAGAATCATAGAATCAAAGAGTTGGAAGAGACCTCATGGGCCATCCAGTCCAACCCCCTGCCAAGAAGCAGGAATATTGCATTCAAATCACCCCTGACAGATGGCCATCCAGCCTCTGTTTAAAAGCTTCCAAAGAAGGAGCCTCCACCACACTCCGGGGCAGAGAGTTCCACTGCTGAACGGCTCTCACAGTCAGGAAGTTCTTCCTCATGTTCAGATGGAATCTCCTCTCTTGTAGTTTGAAGCCATTGTTCCGCATCCTAGTCTCCAGGGAAGCAGAAAACAAGCTTGCTCCCTCCTCCCTGTGGCTTCCTCTCACATATTTATAAATGGCTATCATATCTCCTCTCAGCCTTCTCTTCTTCAGGCTAAACATGCCCAGCTCCTTAAGCCGCTCCTCATAGGGCTTGTTCTCCAGACCCTTGATCATTTTAGTCGCCCTCCTCTGGACACATTCCAGCTTGTCAATATCTCTCTTCAATTGTGGTGCCAGAATTGGACACAATATTCCAGATGTGGTCTTACCAAAGCAGAATAGAGGGGTAGCATTACTTCCCTAGATCTAGACACTATGCTCCTATTGATGCAGGCCAAAATCCCATTGGCTTTTTTTGCCGCCACATCACATTGTTGGCTCATGTTTAACTTGTTGTCCACGAGGACTCCAAGATCTTTTTCACACGTACTGCTCTCGAGCCAGGCGCCCCCATTCTGTATCTTTGCATTTCATTTTTTCTGCCAAAGTGGAGTATCTTGCATTTGTCACTGTTGAACTTCATTTTGTTAGTTTTGGCCCATCTCTCTAATCTGTCAAGATCGTTTTGAATCTGCTCCTGTCCTCTGACTATTGGCTATCCCTCCCAATTTGGTGTCGTCTGCAAACTTGATGATCATGCCTTCTAGCCCTTCATCTAAGTCATTAATAAAGATGTTGAACAGGACCGGGCCCAGGACGGAACCCTGAGGCACTCCACTTGTCACTTCTTTCCAAGATGAAGAGGAAGCATTAGTGAGCACTCTCTGTGTTCGTCCACTTAACCAATTACAGATCCACCTAACCGTAGTTTTGCCTAGCCCACATTGGACTAGTTTCCTTGCCAGAAGGTCATGGGGGACCTTGTCGAAGGCCTTACTGAAATCCAGGTACGCTACATCCACGGCATTCCCCGCATCTACCCAGCTTGTAGCTCTATCGAAGAAAGAGATCAGATTAGTCTGGCATGACTTGTTTTGATAAATCCATGTTGACTATTAGCGATGACTGCATTTGTTTCTAAGTGTTTGCAGACCGCTTCCTTAACAATCTTTTCCAGAATCTTGCCCGGTATCGACGTGAGGCTGACCGGACGGTAGTTGTTTGGGTCATCCTTTTTTCCCTTCTTGAAGATTGGGACCACATTGGCCCTCCTCCAATCTGCTGGAACTTCTCCCGTTCTCCAAGAACTCTCAAAGATGGTTGCCAATGGTTCCGAAATGACTTCCGCTAGTTCCTTCAATACTCTGGGGTGTAGTTGATCTGGCCCTGGGGACTTGAACTCATTAAGAGCGGCCAGGTATTCCTGGACGACTTCTTTCCCAATTTGGGTTGGATGTCCTCCAATCCCTCATCCACTCCATCTTGCTGAGGTTGAAGACTCTCTTTTTGTGAGAAGACCGAGGCAAAGAAGGCATTAAGTAGTTCTGCCTTTTCCCTATCCCCTGTCAGCATTGCCCCATCTTCTCCTGTTGAACTTCATTTTGTTAGTTCTGGCCCATCTCTCTGATCTGTCAAGATCATTTTGAATTCTGCTTCTGTCCTCGGGAGTATTGGCTATCCCTCCCAATTTGGTGTCGCTGCAAACTTGATGATCATGCCTTCTAGCCCTTCATCTAAGTCATTAATAAAGATGTTGAACAGGACTGGGCCCAGGACAGAACCCTACGGCACTCCGCTCGTCACTTCTTTCCAAGATGAAGAGAAAGCGTTAGTGAGCACCCTCTAATGCTTCCTCTTCATCTTGGAAAGAACATGAGATACACATTTCTGTTTGGTTTCCTGCAGGGTGGATGTCACAACCTTAGAACAAAAAAAAATCAATGTAACCTTCTACTGAAGCATATACTAGGAAGTTGGGCAACTTACCTGTTTGAATTCTTGATGGCTCTGAAAATGAACACATAACTGTATATGATGGCAATTAAGGGAATGAAGAATACAAAGCAGAAAAGGAGCATTGTGTAGGCACGGACTGATGGGGTGAAGGTGATATAATCCCAGGAACAGGAGGTCAAGAGGCCCTCTGGAACATAAGCGCCTTAATGAGAAGATAGAAAAGGCTTGGTTTAACAGGCGTGAAAGAGAGAAAAGAAAATCATATTTATTTTCAAAAATTAACATAAAGGCATGAAATCCAATCTTGTAAATCTAAGTAACAATACTGTGAATGCAATCGAGAGCTGTTGTTCTTTATAACCACTCACATATTATTAAATTAGATGCTGATAGCAATTTCTAAGACTAGAACTTTGTGAAGAAAATGAACAGAAGACCAAATAGTCTTCCTTTTGAAAAATGTTGCTTTGTCTAAAGAAACTGTTTGACATTAAGCTGAGGACAGACAAAGCAAACAAACTGCCGAGGAGCACCTTGGGGCTTTGTTATCACAAAGTCCATTGTTAACTCACAGAATTCATTGCCATATAATGTTTTCATCCAGATACACAAGTGCCAAGAGACATTTGCGTGGATCCTGACATCTGTTCAACTCACAGAACATAAACTGGTTTTTACAAGACCTCAAGATGTAAGGCAGAGGTACATCTCTCTCCTTCCTCACCTCTCTCTTACTCCTTCCTTCAGAATTCAATGGTAAGCAATTACACCATTGGGCACTCTTTCTTCAAATGTTGGTTGTGTCCCTAATTAACATGTACTCTTTGGGAGTTTTGGTTGTTTTATTTTGAGATCCCAGTGAAACACCTGGCATCATCCACGACAAATGTGATTTCTAGGATTGTTTGATTAAAAAAAAGTTCAAAACTCTTTTTGTATGTAGGGGGTGCTGGTGGTTCGATTCTAAAGTCAATTGAGATTTTCAGAGGAAAAAAATGTTCAAAACTTTATGAAACTTCTGAGACTTCCAAATCCTTCCTTAATGGTTTGAAAGTGTTATTTCCTGTTTCATTGGGTGGTCTTTACTTTGAAAATAGTTGTTTTATTCCACTCTGCTTTAAAACACTTCCCAGGCTCACAAGGGGAGAGGAGAGGGAGGAAATTCATCCACTCTGTTTTAAAATGCTTCCCAGGCTCATGAGGGGAGGGGAGAGGGAGGAAATTCATCCACTCTGTTTTAAAACGCTTCCCAGGCTCACAAGGGGAGAGGAGAGGGCAGAAATACTCCACTCTGTTTTAAAACACTTCCCAGGCTCATGAGGGGAGAGGAGAGGGAGGAAATTCATCCACGCTGTTTAAAAAAAATTCCCAGGCTCACAAGGGGAGAGGGGAGGGTGGAAATTCATCCACTCTGTTTTAAAACGCTTCCCAGGCTCATGAGGGGAGAGGAGAGGAGAGGGAGGAAATTCATCCACTCTGTTTTAAAATGCTTTCCAGGCTCACATGAGGGGAGAGGAGAGGGAGGAAATTCATCCACTCTGTTTTAAAACGCTTCCCAGGCTCATGAGGGGAGAGGAGAGGGAGGAAATTCATCCACTCTGTTTTAAAACGCTTCCCAGGCTCATGAGGGGAGAGGAGAGGGCGGAAATTCATCCACTCTGTTTTAAAACGCTTCCCAGGCTCATGAGGGGAGAGGAGAGGGAGGAAATTCATCCACTCTGTTTTAAAACGCTTCCCAGGCTCATGAGGGGAGAGGAGAGGGCGGAAATTCATCCACTCTGTTTTAAAACGCTTCCCAGGCTCATGAGGGGAGAGGAGAGGGCGGAAATTCATCCACTCTGTTTTAAAACGCTTCCCAGGCTCATGAGGGGAGAGGAGAGGGCGGAAATTCATCCACTCTGTTTTAAAACGCTTCCCAGGCTCATGAGGGGAGAGGAGAGGGCGGAAATTCATCCACTCTGTTTTAAAACGCTTCCCAGGCTCATGAGGGGAGAGGAGAGGGCGGAAATTCATCCACTCTGTTTTAAAACGCTTCCCAGGCTCATGAGGGGAGAGGAGAGGGAGGAAATTCATCCACTCTGTTTTAAAATGCTTCCCAGGCTCAAGACAGAAGCGAGGGGAGAGGAGAGGGAGGAAATTCATCCACTCTGTTTTAAAACGCTTCCCAGGCTCATGAGGGGAGAGGAGAGGGAGGAAATTCATCCACTCTGTTTTAAAACGCTTCCCAGGCTCATGAGGGGAGAGGAGAGGGCGGAAATTCATCCACTCTGTTTTAAAACGCTTCCCAGGCTCATGAGGGGAGAGGAGAGGGCGGAAATTCATCCACTCTGTTTTAAAACGCTTCCCAGGCTCATGAGGGGAGAGGAGAGGGAGGAAATTCATCCACTCTGTTTTAAAACGCTTCCCAGGCTCATGAGGGGAGAGGAGAGGGCGGAAATTCATCCACTCTGTTTTAAATGCTTCGCAGGCTCATGAGGGGAGAGGAGAGGGAGGAAATTCATCCACTCAGGTTTAAAATGGCTTCTGACTCACTCACTGCTTCATAACAGAAATGGCGGAAAAATCTACGGAAGGGCAAAGGGACTGCCGGTTTCCTTGAAAAGTTTGAAATCACTTCAAAATGCAAGTCTTTCCAAATTTATTTCGAATTACAAAGATTCTGACTGAACCTAACCATGCCTAGTGATTTCTTTTTAAAATGAAATTACAGCAGAAACTTGACCATATAAACCAGTGGTTCTCAACTTGTGGGTCCCCAGATGTTTTGGCCTTCAACTCCCAGAAATCCTAACAGAAAGCTGGTAAACTGGCTGGGATTTCTGGGAATTGTAGAGCAATATATCGGGACCTACAGGTTGAGAACCACTGATTATAAGCTAAACAAAAGTGCCACTGTTGTATTTAAGAGCTACTGTACCCAGAGGCGACCCTGGGTAATTTTCAACGGTAAGCAAACAGTATTTCCCCCCCCCCCCAAAAAAATCACTGATATATATATTCTGTTCGTCGTGGGAGTTCTGTTTGTCATATTTGGTTCAATTCCATCATTGGTGGAGTTCAGAATGCTTTTTGATTGTAGGTGAACTATACATCCCAGTAACTACAACACGCATAAGTGTCAAGGTCTATTTTCCCCCAAGAGCGCCTCAAGAGCGTCTGTGGACAAAATCAACTATACTGCAAATGCTTACTTTGTGTAATGGGTTGAGATGCCCCTGACTGTACCTTTAATTGAAAGTATCTTGATTTCCTGTCCTATCCATTCTATTATTATAAAGCCACCTCTTGAGTTGAATGGTCTGGGAGTATATCCTTTTCATATCTAATATCAACTCTTGTATTCGGAAATGAGAAAAATATATTTTAAACTTTTCCACCTTTCCCACCAAGAGATGCTCTGTGTTCTATTTTTCTGTCTTACTGTGAGAGTTCACAGCATGGCAAAAAGTAGAGCATTAGAAGCTGGCTAATATGAAAAGGCGGTTACACATAATTAAGGCTTTCATTATACCCCTTTTGTGAACAATAACAATCAGTCTGAATATATCACAAACACACCAAAAAAAAAAAAAACCTTGCACTTATCCGTGTCTGTTATTTATACAGATCCCTACCGCCTGGCTATAGAAAATTATACAATTGTTATACAAGCTGTTTCTCCCCTTTATTTTCATCCCTGATTTTTATCTCCTCATTTCTGTGTAAGGCATTAATGCGTTTTCATGCAGAAGTGTTACTGCAAAGAGCTTCAGTTAAAAAGTCTTGGTTAGCTCTGAACCAGAGCCCTTCACTGAGAATTTCTTCATGTTAAATATGTAAATCCTTTGTATCTACCAGCGACTCTGAAAGGCCATTATATAAAGTTCTACTTTGCATGTGTTATCAAGTAACTGGATTTTTTACCATCTTACTTACTCCATCCAAAGAAAGGCGGGAGACTCCAAGCTAGGGAATACAGCCAGACTCCTGACAGGATTAGCAAGGCTTTCTTTGTAGACATTGCTCCGATGGAGGCGAGGGGTCGCGTAATCACAAAATACCTGTCCAGGGCTATCACTGTTAAGGTGATCATGGAAGCAATGCCAAAAAGGGCTCCACAGAATGCGTACAGCTCACAGCCTTTTAGGAAAGAGTGCAGCACAGTTAGCTTTGCATTGTATTTTTAATTGACTAAAAGCACTTCTTTTAAAATCTCACTTTTCTATTATAGTAGAATTGTCAAGGCAGGTTACAATAAAGATTTTCAAAAGTGATAAAATAACAGGAACAATACAGCAAAAGCATAAGCTAGGACAGTGTAAAAATATACACTGAGACTTATCTGAATTGCAAAATTCAGAGACTCATGGAGATGAATGAGATTTAACCTGGCATTGAAATGCCATTGCATAAGGAATGAAGTGGTTCTCGTTGACAAGACCAGCCCTGCCATTTTGCTGAGTGAAGCAACTGCAAAATAGGGAGGGCAGAGGAACAGTACCATAAGCTGCTCCTGGTGGGCCCCCCAAGTGTCATCCTTCATTGGAAAGCAGAGCAATCTTATCCTATGTTTTCTTCTGCAATTGGGTTGCCAGTGTGAAAACAAGAGATGGCTCCCATAATGTCCATGGCTAGGTAGAAGAAAGAATTTTAGCAGGTGTTGTTTGACATACAAACCAACTTTTCTACACAACAGGAAGCACTCTCCTTGAGTTGCCTTCGGGCTGAGAAAGGTGGTATATAAATATGGCAAATAAATAAAATGTTCAGCTGTGTCTTGTGGCCCTTGTGAGCACTTTCAAATCTATGATTTGCGAGTTACACATTGTGTGTTGTGGTTGTGCATCCTATACTTTTTATGGGATTACGCATTGTGGTTTTGCATCTTATACTTTCTACTGTGGCTTTGCTTGGGCTAGTGACAATTTCTCAATGGCACCCATGTCTTGCCCAGTGTGTTATCCTCCATGGGGATTTCATAGTGCTTTCATGGTTTATGTCTGCATGTAGATGTTTATGCTATGCCAAAGAGAAGTTGGATTGAGGCCACAGTGTGCTTGCATGTGTGTGCACACAGGGTGTGAAGTCCAACATTCTTTAAATCCCTCATCTTGTTGACAGCTATAATTTTCAAACCATCAGAATAAAATACAGTGGAGTCTCAGAATGTAGTTGTACACACCTTTTGCCCCAAATATCCACCGTTTGTTGAGACTGTTGGTGAAGAAAACTGGACACTGAGTGATGGCCATTAGAAAATCACTGACAGCCAGATTGATAATGAACATGTTGGCGGGAGTGCGAAGACCTCGAATCCTACAAGCAAAGAGAAGAGAATGACGACAGGTAACACCTGAGGCTGCTGTTCTGCTTGACTTCAAAGCTTCAAAGGGGCAGCTGGTCATTTGGATCAAAGCAAAGCAACATACTGACACAAGGTATTGATGCTGGTTTTCTTCTTAAAAGGGCAATAATGACATGACCCACAATGTACTGAGCTAGCATGCTGGGCTTCATTAATTGCCCATCTGGTCTGTTGAGAGTGTCCAGAGAGACGACTCAGACAAACACAAATAGGACCTGACGGGATATTATTCCCTGTTGCTAATCCACAGCATTGACTGCATCAAACTAAAATAAGAATACTTGGCATTGATGTAGTGCTTTAGAGAAGAGTCAGGGGACTCTGGATCAGGGGTTCTCAAACATTTTGAGCTGCGGAGCCTTTTTGAAGCAAAAGTTTCTCTTGGAGCTCCAAGAAATGTTTATAAATGTGTGTATTAGGCTTGGGTAACAACGGAAAAAATTGTTTCTAAACTCGTTTCATTTTTAGGGGGTCCATTGCGTTTCATTTTTTAAAAGAATTCTGAATTTTTTCTTTAAAAAATTTCGAAATTTACAAAATTTTGTAAATTTCGAATTGATTCGTTAATGGCGGACGCGATTGCGCAATATGCTAAAAAAACCTCCAAATGGGACAGGGGGAACTTCTGAAGCTTCCCTCTCCCTCTGTTGTTGACTGTTGTTGTGATAAAACAAACAACAACTATATTATATTATATTATTATAATATTATTATATTATATTATATTATATATATTATATATTATTATATATTATTATATATTATTATATGATATTATTATAATATATTATATTATATATATTATATTATATATATTATATTATATATTATATTATATTATTATAATATTATTACATTATATATTATTATTATATTATTATATATATTATAATATTATTATAATATGAAGAGAAATGGCGGCGAGATTGTAAAACTTGCACCAGACATATGAAAATAATTACAAAATAATTACAAAAACTGGAAAAATTGTTTCAATTCTTAATTATTCTTCACACTATTCCAAAATGGCTCAATATTGGATCGTAAGCTAATTTAAATACGAATCCATAACGAGTAACGAAAATAACGAACATGAAACCGCCCAAGCCTAGTGTGTATGGCATGGACAAACTTTTTGATGCATTGTTTTAAAAATTTGACAGATGGGCTGGACCAGTGGCAGATGGATGGAAAGTGTTTGTGTTAACTAATAGAAAAAAAGCACACACACGAACAAATTCCTCTTGGCAGCAAGAGTGTTGAGGGAAAGGCTTTTGGTGGTAAGAAAGACAGGGGGAAGGAGAAAAGCAGGAAAGAGGAGGGAAAGCTCAGAGGAAGGGAGGAGGAAGAAGATAGAGGAGGAGGGAACTACAGAGCCCCTCAGTGTGCTTTGCAGAGCGTCAAGCGTTCCACGGAACACAGTTTGAGAACCACTGGTCTAGATGGTATTAACTGAAATGCTGGCAAGGGATTTATTTACGGTATTTATACTCCACCCTTCTCATCCCGCAGGGGACTCAGGGCAGATTACAATGTACATATATAGGCAAACATCCAATGCCATAGACACATAACACATACAGACAGACACTCAGAGGCTATTTAACATTCCAGCTTTTTCTGGCCACCAGGGGAGCTGTCACTTCACCGTCCATCTGTGACACTGATGAAGTACTTCCTCATTCCCCGCATGCTTGCTGGAGATTTATATGGCCTCGTAAATGAGTTAAAATAGCCTCCCCACATAAGTGGTACTTAATTTTCCTATTTTTTTAAAAAAAAATCTTTATTAACATTTTCAAAACAATGACAAGAAAGAAAAAAGTGTAGTTAAAAAGTTTTAAAAAGAGAAACAGAACAAAAAAGGTATTATGGAAAAGAGAAAAAAAGAGAAAAAAGAGAAAAAAACTTGTAAAAAAACAACAAAAAAGATTTTTCTTTATGACTTCCTGAGTATCTTCAATGAGGTGTCCTCCTTTTCTCTCTTCCTCTCACTTCCTCTCCTTTTCTTCCTTACTCAGTCCTTCTTCCCTTCTTTCTTTTGGGGGTAATTTCTAAAATTTATATTAATATTTTATATTTCTTGTCTTTTGTGTATTTTATTACTTTCATCCAGTTTGTCTCTTTTTTCGGTTCGCCTTTATTTTTTGATAACAAGTAGGTAAGTCTGTCCATATTTCTTATATCAAGTACTTTTTCTAACCAGTCTTCTATGCTTGGTATCTCTTGTTTTTTCCATAATTTTGCATAGCATATTCTAGCTGCTGTAGTTACTAGAAACAGTATTTTATCCGTGTTCTTCTCCATTTTTGGTTCCGTAATTCCGAGCAGGAATATTTCTGGTTTCAGATGTATGTTTAGTTCTAACATTTTTTGTAGAGTTTCTTGAATTTTCTTCCAGTATAGCTTTGCTTTTTTGCACATCCACCACATGTGAAGGTATGTACCTTCCTTCTTTCTGCACTTCCAACACTCTGTGTTGGCATTTTTATAACATTTTCCTAATTTATAGGGGGTCATATACCATCTTTGTGCTATTTTTATCCAATTTTCTTTTAGCTCTGATGCGTATGAATATTTCAATTTCCTATTCCAAATTTCTTCCTATTCCAAATTTCTTCAATTTCCTATTCCAATTTCCTATTCCACTCTTCCTTTTTTTTATCATTCTTCCTATATTTTCTTTCCATCTTTTCATATATTCTTTTTCATCACTTGTTCCCTTATTCCATTGGAATAGTTTTTTGTATATCTTTGTTATTGTTTTCTTATCCGTTTGTATAACTAAGTCCCAAAATGATTTTTGTTCTTCAAATCCTAATTTTATATCTTTTTTGAAACATTCTCTTATTTGCCAATGTTGGAACCATGAGATTTTGTTGTTTATTTCCTTCATTTCTTGTTCTAATTTTCCTACTTTACAGATGCAACTGTCTTTCGGGCTGCAAAGGCCAACAAGCTACACAAATTGGTCAGAAGCTCACTCTGACTTGAACTGGCTTCAAACTCATGACCTTTCGGTCAGTAGTGATCTTAATGCAGCTGACTCCCAGCCAGCTGCGCCACAGTCCTGGATATCAGGGGTTCATCAACTTCTGTACTTTCAATGTTCAACACACTGTACACATGCATTTTTTCAGTCTCCTTAACAATAACCCTTTTAAGCTTGTGGAGGTGAAGACTGTGGTGTTTCACAGCCTTCACCTCCACAAGCAGAGAGAAGTCCCAGGACAATTCTGCAAAATGCCCTTTGAGACACCCAGATTCATGTTCTTTATATTTGGTGATAGAAAGTGGGTAAGAGTATAGGAGGAGTACAAACCAATTTCATATTGAAACCCAGGAATACAGAGAAATAGAGTCAGAGAAGAAAAGAAAAGGCAGGGCTGACCTGTTGGTCAGGCACAGAATTGAGATGGATACAAGGTAAATCATATTTTGAAGAGTCTGGGCTCATATATGGGGCCGATTTCTGATAAGGATGAATTCATTGTTGAAACTGAAATTCAACCCATCATTAAGGCAGGAGTGATCAATATCTGATTCATTAGAAACCTATCTGTTCTGAAGACAGTGGCCTGAAGAAGAACTAAACATGATGTGAGACCCATTAACCATATTAGCTGGGAAATCTTAGAAGCTGTTGTCCACTTTTTATGGACTAAAGTGAATTTCCCATTATTTATATATTTTAAGGCACACACCATGGTCCTCACAGATGGTCAAGCAAGCCTCCCAAAAAGTGACTGCCATCAAACAAGAAAGGCTTCCCTGATATGAGGCACACCTTCCTGGTTCTCCCAATTATGCAGTGTGATCTGACACAACATTGTTTACTCACATATACATGGACATGACAATCTATATAAATAAAAATGTAATGTTAGTTTGTGGGATTAACAGAACTCAAAAACCACTGCACCAATTGAGACCAAATTTGGACACAATTCGCCCAACTACCCAATGTATGTCCTTCACTAAAAAAAAAGATTTTGTCATTTGGGAGTTGTAGTCGCTGGGATTTATAGTTCACCTACAATCAAAGAGCATTATGAACCCCACTAACGTTGGACTTGAACCAAACTTGGCACACAGTTTTCCGGTGACCAATAGAAAATACTGGAAGGGTTGGGTGGGCAGTGTCCTTTGGTTTTGGAGTTGTAGTTCACCTACATCCATAGAGCACTGTGGACTCAAACATTGATGGATCTGGACCAAACCCTACACGAATACTCAATATACCCAAATGTGAACACTGGTGGAGTTTGGGGAAAATAGAATCTTGACATCTGGGAGTTGTAGTTGCTGGGATTTATAGTTCACCTACAATCACAGAGCATTCTGAAACCCACCGATAGAATTGGGCCAAACCTCCCACACAGAACCCCCATGTGGGCCACATCAATGTGTGGCAGGGGATGGCTAGTATATAAGATAAAAATGAAAACAGTGTAACACCAGATTAGCATATTTCACTTTTTTTTACAACCTGGGAACATTTTATTTTCACTTATCAATGAAATGGTGGGCAAACTCTCAACGAAATTTATCAAATTTTGATGAAAATCTGGATAAAATTAGCAATTTTTCACATATTTGCCATCATACCTACTGCCTAGAGAACAGTTGTGAGATTTCCTTCTTCCAGTTACCAACAGACATTGTTGGGACTGTTGAAAGGAAATTGGGAGGGATAGCCAATACTCCAGAGGACAGGAGCAGAATTCAAAATGGTCTTGACAGGTTAGAGAAATGGGCCAAAACTAACAAAATGAAGTTCAACAGTGACAAATGCAAGATACTCCACTTTGGCAGGAAAAACGAAATGCAAAGATACAGAATGGGGGATGCCTGGCTCGAGAGCAGTATGTGTGAAAAAAATCTTGGAGTCCTCGTGGACAACAAGTTAAACATGAGCCAACAATGTGATGTGGCGGCAAAAAAAGCCAAT